ATCCAATCTATTCAAACCACACCCACACAGTCCTGATAAAGCAGATTAGCTCTTAAACTCAATAAAGAACAAGGATTTCTTTATTCTGAACTTTACCTTTGATTGTTGCTCATTATACGATTGTTGATTGTGAGAAGAAAGTAGGCAGAAAAAAGGCCACCCATCTCACTCATTGGTTAGGACTTCATTACGCGGACTGTTTATTTAGAAAGTGGCAGGTGAATTAACACATTTTGATTTATAGTGGATGGGACCAAAAATCGCTACCCTATAGGCCTTCCCGGAGGCTCAAGCCAAAGCTATATCACAGGGTTTACCTTTTCTGTCTAGTGGCTTAAGATCAGCAGCAGATCAGCAACTTCAATCAGTCAGTCAACAGTCATAGCACAGATGGCAAAGTGACAGGACAATCTGTAGTGGACCTTTTTATTTTACAAGTTTATGAAAAAACCCTTTTGATTCTTTCGATCAGTGGACCCTTATGGGCTAAAGGAATATAAATTACACTTTTGTACTTATGGTTTCTGTGAAATGAATTGAACAGTGGAATTGTGGAGAATCTACATGAACTAATGACGCATGTCAATATGCTATATATAAAGCCTTCATATGAGCCGCTTTGATAACATACACTGCTACCTAATAACAGTCTCACAGAGCAGCTAGCATGGTTGTAGACTCTATTGTATTATGATGGATGAAGTTTGAGGGTTTTATTCAATTTCAATATCAGTGGTTTTACCTACATTAGTTGATTAATTCCCATGAAATTGCTGAGATAGCCTGTAATATGGTCAACTGTCTTGAATCCTTCACTTTATATCTGTGCTTGCAGATGCAGATTTGGTTACTTCTCCAGTACATTAGAGGTCAACGGAATATAAATTGTGATTCTCAAAGCAGTGGAGACTTGACTCGACATCAGGGTTAGGGTTAGACTGCCTTTCTTGAAGCAATTTCCCTAAAACATAATTGTGAGCAGTTGTCATTGGAACTAATTTGATCATAAAAATAGTCCCTAGAAAACAGTTGATGTTAAAACATAGCTCTCAATAGGAACAACAGAAGTGGATGTAATCACATTATGTTTAACTTCCAAAGGAATCCAAATGTTCCTGTTTGAATGCCACATATTCAAACAGGATTAAATAGGTCATTAATGCCTACGCCCATTTTAATTTATAATCTGCTAATAGGATGGCCTTGAACGGCGTTGTTGTTCTCTGCCTCTGAACAGTGATTAACTTTGAACTTGGTTTGTGTCCCCCATTTGCTGTTAATACATATGTAATAACTATTCATGTTGGGGCTGAACCATATGCAAAAAGAAAATCATATTGCAATTATTTTGGCAGATACTGCAATTAAGATATGAGTCACAATTTCAGTTGGAATGGTCATTTTTGCATTTCATTTTCACTGACAAAAAATTTTAATAAAAATGATGATGTAATTTTTGTCAGGGCTTGTAACACACAAGAATGCTCCTTTACATCTAGAGAATATGATTCGTAGCCCGAGGCATCGGTGTAGCACCACAATGTTTCATTAATGGTCTGTTGTGACACATTTTACCCTTATATAAAAAATTGCAGCTCCTGTGATTTGGATATTGAACTTGGTCATATTGCGATTTCAATTAATTGTTCAGCCCTAATTCATGTCAAACAGTTTTGGGTAACAGACTGCTGTGAAGTCCGCTTAGAAATGAAAGTAGACTTCAATGGTTTATGCTTTGTGGCAGGACATGGGTGCACCTTTGTGGGATGCAAAAATAGACATGCGAGGTACATGATGGTGTTCATTAACAAACTACAGAATGTCACACAGAGTTTTAATAAAACTTTATTATACGGACAATATGATAAGATGTTATCAGGCTTCAGTCAGTGTTAAAGAGCATTAAACACTTTATCATACTTGTGAAGGTTGAATGACACAAGAACAAAGCATGTCAGGTCTATTATACAACACCTGAAAGGTCAAGTAGTGTCAAGATTGATTTATTAAAGCTGAATCTGTTAATAACTATGAGACCACAGTCACTGTGGGCACTAATTGTACTTGTTCTCTTTATTGAGAGATGCCATTGTAGCAATTAGGGAAACTTTATTTGTTTCAATAGAAAATAAAAACACACAGTGACATAGCTATTTGTCATTAAACACAAATAAACAAAGTCATGCATGTTACAGCTGTATATTAACGAAGAACATGGTAAAGATACTGCAGGGACAAAAGGAAATGCAAAGGACCTCTGGTTTGTCATCTATCATTCACAAGATTATTTTGTGTGAACATAAAAGAGAGAGACAAAATGCAGTCTTTAGACCAAAATGAGTCCCACCGAGGTCAGGACAGTGCAAACCATCATGGACATTGAAACACTGATGGTAGTACAGGAGTCTGAATCAGAAGAAAAAAACATTACTCTGTCTTCTCTGTTTACACACATCACTACAAACAGATAAAAGACATATGGAAGAGAGAAAGAGAGCTCAAATACCACGCAGTATGTGCATCTCAGAGGCTTCCAGACCAGTGATAGCATTACGGGCAGTGCAGGTGTACATCCCCTGGTGTTTCTCTTCCATCTCACGGATATAGTGAAAAGGCCCGTAAAACTTCATGTGTCTGAACTTCCAGAAGAAAGTTGCCCTTGGTAGTGAATCAGCAGAGCAGCTGAGGGTGACACTCTCCTCAAGTTCTGCTCCCACTGGCGTCTGAACGATTGTTGGTCTGTCAGGTCCGTCTGATCAGATGAGGAAGAAGAACAAGAGGAATGAGATCATTGAAAAAATATTAATGATGATGACCCTGAAGAAAGAAACTTTATTATAAGGGCATGAGCAATTATAAGCTAATACTCTACAAAAAAAAAAAAAAAAAAAAAAAAAAAAAAAAAAAACATGCCGTGGTATATTTTAGTACAATTCAAAGTACTTACAATAGACCTTAAGGCTGCATTTGGCTGTTTCAAAACTGAAATCATTGCTGACGTTACAAAGGAACTCTCCAGTGTCTGTACGGTTGACAGGGTTGATGGACAGCACTCTGTTGCCATCATGGAAGCTGAATCTGTCCCCAGAAACCAGAGGTATACCGTCTTTCATCCACACTCTGGTAGATGGGGAGCCGTCAGCATCACAGGTTAGCTTCACAGAGGTTTTACCTTCTATTAAATTCTCTGTGGGGCAGGCTATGGTGGGTCGCGACACTTTGGCTGTGCACAAGAAAAACAAAAAAGATAATAAGAGAGACAACAATAATGACAACATTCCTAAGTAATGTGATAATACATTCAATTAAACACTATTCAATGTATTTTTTTTTTTTTTAAAAAAAAGACATTTAGCAAAGGATAGCAGATTTCTCATTCCAAAGACATTAAAAACATCAAAAGGGGTGTCAGATTCATAAATCATACTTACTCAGCACCTCCAGCTTAGCGGTTCCTTGAAGCTGCCCTGCTCCCTGAGGGATGATGATTAATTCATATTCTCCGCTGTCTTTCTCTGTCAGATTTCTCAGCACCAGAGACCCAGTAGCTTTATCCAGAGTGATCCTGTTCTCATAGCCTTGTCCCACTACGTCTGCACTGGTGGAGGTTATTACATTGGTGGTACCGTTGAAGCTCCAAGTCAGTGCCAGAAATGGTTCAGCTGCCGGTTTTACAGATGTTGTGAAGGTCACACTCTCTCCCGCTGCTCCACGAAGGAAGTCAACAGTGACTACACCGGCTCCATGGCAAAGACCTGCTGAAATATGAACAACTGTTAGCCAACATTTCACAACTTATAGTTCTATTGATGATAAATTTGATCATCACTTGTAATGTATTTCTTACCTGAGGAGAGGAGCACAAGTATGGCTGATCTGAGGAATGTATAGTTCATGGTGTGTTACTCAGTCTGGTCCTCCTCTGATGTTATCTGAGCTTCTGCCACCTGTGTAAGAGCAACAATGGAATAAGTATCCCTGAGATTATCTGCAATAAATGAAACATGTCATCAAGACGTCCACAGGCTTGACATGTGTAATTATTACCTCCACTAACCTTTGATTAATGTGTCTGTCCAGACTTACATAAGCTAATAAAACACAACTTCATTTTCTGAATACCAGAAATTATGATTATGATTCATTATTACCTCATCATGCCTACAGCTATGCTAGCAGATTACTGAGATGTAAGTATCCAGGCACAGCGGTGCTTTGTATCAACATCAATATGCTATCATACTCACAGTGATAATGTTTATAATAATGATAATAATAAACTTAATTTGTACAGCTTTTTTCAAAACAAAGTACTTAACATGGTTGGAGCTGGATTAAAACACAAGCAAATAAAATTTGGCAAGTAAATATAATACTAAACTGAAATGGAGTAAAATACATTAGTAAAAGGCACAGGTATGGTGTTCACTATCTTAACTTACCATGTCAGCATGCAAACATTTGCAAATCAGTACTGGATGGTGACCTTAGATGAAAATCAGATCACGGAAGTCACACTTTATCCTGAGGGGAACAGGAATGTCTGTACCAAATTTCATATCCATCCAATATTTGTTAAGATATTTCCGTCTGTAGTGTTGGACTGACCCACAGACACCACCATGCCAAGAGTCACACTAAGAACATACTAAATATCAGCATTTTAACTATTTTAATTCAATCTATTCAAACAACTTGTTCTTTCCTACAAAATACCACTTATAATAAGTGGCAATGATAACAGAAACCAAAGCAAGACATTTGCTTATCCCACCTCCATCCTGTTGCCATCCAAACAATTTCTTGATCTATCTAGAGAATTTGAAATCAAGGTACAGATTTCAAATTCAAGATTTATCCAACAGGGTATTATGTTTTTTTGTGTATGAAGTCAGTCACTCCCTACTTAATTCAAGTGAACTTATGACATGTCATACATTAATAAAAAAAAATCATGCATATATTGTATTTATACCTTTAATATTAAATGTCAGCAACAACAAGATTGGTCCAAGTCAAATCTAACAATTAAACATTTACTGTAAACTAAACCAAATTATGGTGCACTCCTGTAAATGTTAAATAATAAAAATGCTTGTTAAACTCAAATTAAAACATTTGATTGTGTCTTGAACTGCTGCTCCCTCCTTGTGCAAGCCTCAGGGGGAACTAAATATCCAGGAGGATGCTCGGTAAATCACATCTATACCACGTTGCTCACTGTCCTTTATCCACAAGACAGTACAACCTCACTGACACCACAGGGGGGAAGCATACTGCAGCTTTTGGAGTGAAATTGTTCAGTAGATTCAAAGGATTTACTGTATGTCATCCAGTTTTTACAAGAAAACATGCAGGAAGATTTTCATTTACTTGGACAAAGACATAGGTAAGTTGTTGTCTATGAAGTTTAGCCATTGATTAAGAGTGAAAGCTGGAGGCGCAAAGTCATGGAAAGCTGATCCTAAAGTCTGTGGCGTTTATATTGTTTTTGGCATGAAGAAAAGTCAAAGGTGTCAATTCAAGAATACAACTTTGATCAAATTTAATTATCTTCTAAGCTTAATGGACAAACGTGACAAATCGGGTGTTGAGTCTGCTACATTTTGAATTAACAAATTATTTAAAAATTATTAATTTAAAAACATCTGACACTTTCATTTTCACAGTTCCACAGTTTCCACATATTTGAAAGACTGGTACATATTCAATTATGTTACCAACAAATACAGCAAATATTATTAGCTGACATATAAGCATTAAATATTAAAGACAAAAATATTGTTAAAAATTGAATTGTGTCTTTTCCAAACCTGGTGTGTATTTACAAAGTTGTGGTCACACAGATAAGAACAAGCATTAGATATGCACTGTATGTATAAATTGTTAAGTATGCATAGGTGTACAAATTAGGAAAAACATACAAGTCATTTGATGAACATGGTGAAATACCAAGCTTAACATTTAAAATGGATCACATGACTACTTCTCTGTGAAAGAGGTCAACACTGAATTATCATCAGACGCTGTAGTTCTCCTCAACTAGAGAGCTTTGTAGCATTTGTCAGTTCATTCCATCATTGGTTTTACAGCCTGCAACTGCACTGTTTTGATTCACACTCAGTGCTCTCTCTCATCAACCTTGTTTTCGGCTGTTTTAAGGGAAATGTTAGGGTTATGGGAAAGGACAACCATCTGGTGGACATAGTAGAGCATTTAGCTGCAGAGGGAAATATTTCCCCTTCGAGTAGGTGGAGACCCAATGGAAAGTGCATACTGGTCTTTTTTTTGCCAGGTATATATACTTCAAATGAGTGATAATTTTGCCAGATCCACTTAAAAAGATATATCAGTTCTGTATTTACAACTTATTTCCATTGTCCCCAAGTTGCTAATTATGAGTTATTCCAGGTTTAAGAGCTAATAGAGAAAGAGCTGATAGCTCTGATCAAACCAGAGCTAAACGGAGAGATAGTGTTGGGCAAGAAATGCAGCAGAAATGCTACTGTTGCTCTGCCTGAATGTCTAAATGGCAAATGTTTGCCAACACATTATGCATGAAACTTAATAAGGCACAGTAATAATATATCAAGGCTGCTAAAGCTGTAATCCAGTTGTGGTGCTCTTCTTCCACCTAGTGGCCTCAAAGTATCACTGCATTGTGATTTACTAATTTATAAGAAAAAGAAATGTAGAGGAATAATAATAAATAAAAAAACAGCAGTGGGGGATCTTCTTTTCTTGGTGCAGGTGAAGACTTAACAAGTGTTGATTTTCTGATCATCTGCAGGACAAAAAAGTAAAATGGTTAGAGTTGCTGTTTTGATTAACTATGAGTCCTCAGTCATTGTTGGTCTATAGTAGATTTAACAGATTTAAACCAAGAATAATTACTTCTACCTTTTTCATTAAATCAGGATTGACATTAAAACATACCTTTAGTTTATTTTATGTCCTCATATATTCTCATAAGTATTTTCTTCTTGTTCTATGCAAAAAAAAAAAATAGTTTTGTTACAGTGCAGCTTATTATCTATGATTGTAATTTATTTATATGATAGTTTAAGTGTAGGGTGAAGTCAGATCAGATGACTACTTACCTGTGTTATGTGGCGGGGGATCTTTCTTATTTCTAAATATTAGCAATAGAACATTGTTTAAATTTGGCCAGTTAGATGCGAGTCAAAACTCAAACAATAGCCAATATGTTTTCTGTAATTTAATGAAAAAAGATTCCTAGGTGCCCCTGTAGCTCACCAGGAGGGGTGTGTACCACGTGCTAAGGCTGAGTACCTACCTTAGCATGAAACTATGAATATATAGTATGTTTAATGTATAACATCAGGGTTAGGTCAATGTTAATGTTACAATTAAGAGAAATGGGTAATATCATGAAAGACATTATTCACTCACTTCTTTTTGTAAATATAGTACCCTCCAGCAGCTCCACCAGCAGCTATGAAACATATGGTTATTACTATGGCAGCAATGGCACCAGCTGAAAGAAATCCATGTGGTTTCCCTGGTATGCGTAAAATGAAACAAGAAACCCGGCAGCATTAGTAAGTTTGGAAACGCACAAGAACAGCTGATAAGTGTGCATTAGGTATCATGTAGCAGCAATGATTACATACGGTGAATGTTATTTAAGAAAACAAGTCAAGCACAAAAGCATGGTGCTAAAATAAATAACAATGGAATGGAAAGGAACAATTGGATTAATATACCCTCTCTTCTAAGCATTTTAAAACTAATCTATCACACCTTGTTATGGATCAGCAAAGGTGAGATATATTCAGAAAGCCAACCACTCTTCACAGGGTTAATATTATGAGTTGAGATATCCAAAAGTATCAATACTCTGTCATCTGCAATGCAAAATTTCCTCCCTCATCTGCTATCAAGCCAAAAAAAAAAAAACAAAAAAAAAAAAAACAAACCAAAAAAAAACCCTCACTGTATCCACGAGTATTAACAATATGTGCAGTCAACACTGGTCTGGTACCTGTCAGGAACTGTGTTACAGTCATCCATGTACTGCAGATGATGTTTCTTCAGTATTTCTATTTCATCGCTTCACAGGTGACTTTCCACTGTCAGAAAGATCAGTGATGTGTTTAGTCAACACGGCAGAATGCGTTGAGTATCTTCGTCTCATTCAGTTTCCAGGTGTAATTAGCCAGTTGGTGTGCACTCAGCCGAGCAGGTTAATGTTAAGGTCTCGTTCAAAACTTATTGTACTTGGACCTTTGATTTTGAACATTTTCTGGTCCATCTGAAAGAGAGAAGAGAGAATTTGGTGATATTTACAGTAGCACAAACCATGTTATTTCCCTCAGTGCACTCAGCATTTTACCACCATATTGTCTGAAAAGTAAATGTACATTGTACAGCATCTTACTTACAGTTAACAACCATGATGTATTCAGCTGCAACACTGCTGAGAGGGTTGCTGATGTTACAGGAATAATTTCCACTGTCTGTTATCTTTAGAGACTGAAAAGACAGCACTCTGTCAGTCTGGATCAGATCTGCACCATCCTTCATCCACTTTATGGCAAAGACGAGCCAGCAGCTTCACAGGTTAAGCTGACAGAGTTTCCCTCAACTGGCTGGTTTGTTAATGATGTGACAGAGGCATTCACTATTGGCTCTGTTGGACAAAAGATAAAGGATTTTGTGAGAGAAATATGAAAACAGGAACAAAACTAGCCGAGTCACTGAGAGTTGACTGAGTAAATAGATCTAAAGGAACTTGAGAACAGTTCATCTTTGCGAGGGGAATAACCCATGAGTCCACATTCATGGGTTATTCTACCATTTAACGTTTTTAACAACCTATACTCCAGCCATATCATTGATATGAGTGGAATACATGACACTGACTTTACTCCAAGGTCAGAATATAACAGATAGTCAATTCACGTACAGAATAATGGAGAAAAGTGTTTTATCAAAACAACAAGATTCTCAAACAGCTGCCACGTTCACCAATGAAACTTTTAACGGAACGTAACGCAATGTGTTTTTATTTAGTAGATTTTTTGCCACCTGGAGGCAGTGAAAACAAACTGTAAACACAACATTAACACATAATCACTGTTGATACACCAACTTGTTGCGTATTCAGGTTACTCCACCAACTCCTGAGGGAAACATCTGGTTCTTTACCTGCTAAATGCTTCACTATGTTCACCTGCTAGTTGCTAACTTTGTCTCTGTCTTTGGTGATGAGCAGGTACTCTGACCCTGCTGTTTATAAACCTGAGCCTTGATTCTGCATCAAACAACAGATATCCATTCAAAAACCACTGAAAAAGGGCAGCAGGTTTGGAGACAGCTGAGCACATCAGGATGATGTCTGACCATTCCACATAGTAATCCTGTGACAGGGATTTTGTTAAATAGATATTTTCTGGGCCAACTGAATGTAGGTAAAAAGAAAAAAACAACAGAACAGTGACCAAGATGTAATATTAGTTGCATGAAAAATAGAAAGGCATATGGCATGAACTGTGACTCATACTGAGGTCTTATATGTGATTAGTATGCACAGCGAAATTGTTATATATCAAGCACGATAGAAAAACAAAACTGTGCAAAGCAATGCAATAGAACAGAAGTTTCTCAATGAAACCGACTGTACAACGATTGAACTGACACTGATGTTTGTGGTGGTTTTGTACTGGAGTCAATTAAGTTGAAAATGTGTTTCTATGTTACATACAGATGTTGTCAGATAAAAGACTGAGAATGCAGGTTAGTAGCTCACAGCTGATGGAGAGGTTCTACTGGGACACTGGCTGCCATTTCTGAAGAGATTGAACACATGACACCTGAATGGTCCCTGGTCATAGCGGGTCACACTGACTATAGTGAGAGTGGTGTTCCCATCAGTGAGCTGAACTCTGTCACTGGCTGTAACCTCAGAGCTGCCGTTCAGCCAGAGGAAAGAGAGGGAGGATCCAGAGGAGGAGCAGAACAGACTGACAGAGCTGAACTCCACCAGGTCTGTGCTGCTGGCAGTTACTGTTACATTGGAGACTCGCGCTGTGGGTGATAAACACAGTGGTTTTACACTTTCCACTGCTCACAACAGGGAACATGTTTCAGTGGAGGGAAGCAATGTAGGTTTTTTGATTGATTGACTTGGTGTCATATATTTTTATTTCAGTTAATCTACTCCAATTACTGAAATAATTTGTCAGTTATGTGTTAGCTGATATTCTCACTGAGTAACAGTTGCATTGCCAATCATTGCATATCATATGGGATGAGGGTGGCAATATAAACTAGATAACTGTTAATTTATCTAATGACCTTAAAGTATATTGAAGTAGCTTGATTGCTAGTGAATGCATGCACCATTTCTTATTGTTCCACAAATGTTTTGAACAAAATTTTTATATTTAAGAAAGTTTTATATGATACTATCACAGCTACATGTCTAAATCCCTTTTTATAAAAAAAAAAAATCAATGTTTCTTTGAACAAATCCTTTTACTCAAACTTACTTAGGACAGAGATGATGGAAGGTTGAGATTTTTCATTTCTCATGGTTTTGTTGTTAAAGGCCTGACAACTGTAGTTCCCACTCTGATCCTCCTTAATGTTTATAAGTCTGAGCTCTGGTCCAGTATCAGAAAGCGGGACTCTATTTCAGGAACCAGTTAAACAGTGCAGCGGGTCTGGAGACGCTGAGCACATCAGGATGATGTCTGACCTTCCATCAGTAATCCTGTGACGGGGATTTTGTAAATGATATTTTCTGGCCAACTGAATGTAGGTAAAAAGAAAAAAAACAGACAGATGCAAAGATGTAATATTAGTTGCATGAAAAATAGAAAGGCATACGCATGCAGTGTGACTCATACTGAGGTCTTATATGTGATTAGTATGCACAGCGAAATTGTTATTACATCAAGCACAATAGAAAAACAAAACTGTGCAAAGCAATGCAATAGAACAGAAGTTTCTCAATGAAACGACTGTACAATGATTAACTGCACATCTGTGTTTGTGGTGGTTTTGTACTGGAGTCAATTAAGTTGAAAATGTGTTTCTATGTCACATACAGATGTTGTCAGATAAAAGACTGAAATGCAGGTTAGTAACTCACAGCTGATGGAGAGGTTTACTGGAGCACTGGTGCCATTTCTGAAGGATTGAACACATGACACCTGAATGGTCCCTGGTCATAGCGGCGTCACTGACTATAGTGAGAGTGGTGTTCCCATCAGTGAGCTGAACTCTGCACTGGCTGTAACCTCAGAGCTGCCGTTCAGCCAGAGGAAAGAGAGGGAGGATCCAGAGGAGGAGCAGAACAGACTGCAGAGCTGAACTCCACCAGGTCTGTGCTGCTGGCAGTTACTGTTACATTGGAGACTCGCGTTGTGGGTGAAAACACAGTGTTTTTTTTTTTTTTTTTTTTTTATTACTGTAGTTGCTATCTTGAAGTAAAGAGGCAATAACAAATAATATTACTATAATGATGAAGAATGAAATTCCATCTAAACCATGCCATAGTGAGCAGTCATGGCTGATTGTTTGATCGCAATAACGCACAGACAGATAACAGTAATGAAAATCCTTAAAGTAACAACACTGGTCAAAACATCTTAACTTTAAATTATTTCACTGCCATGATATAAATATCTACGTCTAAGTTTTTGTTTGAAGAACAGTAATCTAAACAGAATATACTCATACTATGTGCTATACTTCTGATTTATCAGTTGTACACAACAATCATGAGATCAAGCACCTTGCTGCAATTGCCATTATGCTATACAATGTATAGTAAGGCGTGTGTCTCAGAGACATTCATTGAACTATATGGTATCCTCAGTCAGTTCTTGATGGTGGTGGCCAATGTCACCTTTAAACACTATAAACACAGTATGTACGTAGATTATGTTAGTGACCTACTTAGCATAACCAGAGAGGTGGTGCCCTCCTTGTTGCCATCTGGGAAGGTAGAAAATGAGCAGATGTACATCCCCTCATCAGTCATCGTAACATTGCTAATCTGGATGGAAGGGCTGTCCAGGTTTGGGGGACTGGGTGAGAAGCTGACCCTGCCCTTCACAGGTGAGTCAGGGTAGATGGGTTCAAAGTTGGGGTGAAACACAGCGATGTTGATCCTTTCCCCTTCCTTCGGCTCGTAGGTCCATGTGACCTGTGGTGGAGGCGGCACAGGGTCAGTGGTTAGGATGTGTACAGTGACTGAGAAAAACAATAGGCCTCATTCATCATGGTGTTGATAAGTGACACTGGAGGGTGTTTTGAGACATCCACATTTTGCTGTAAAGTCCACAGGGCAGCATACACAGCATTACAATCAAATAAGTGGCACAGGTATGAATATGGATGCAGTTTTCTTTCTCTCTCTCTCTCTCTCTCTGCTGGTCTTAATGGAACCAAAATTACTAGCCTCAGGATTATTTCTGTGGCCCATGATTCGTTAGATTAAGATTTAATGTGCCAAATAAAGAAGGCACATGGACCTGTATTAACATTTTATGTTCATTTTGATTTAAATGAATTGCTCTTACCCACCTGTTTCACATACCTGCAGAATCGGGTTGATGCATAATTGACAGTTCTTTATTTGACAGGAAAATACCCATTTGTTTAGTCAAATATTACATTGTATATCCACTTAATCGTCAATGTCTGTTCACTTTAGATGTGAAAGCAAATTGCAGTCCCAAGAAATCTCAACGATTTATATTGTGTCACTTCAGCACAATGAGCTAAATTTCAGGATGTAACAGACATTTTCATTAGAATTTCATATCAAATCTGGTTTTGAGTTGGTATGAGTGTGGTGGTATAAAGAAGTAATAAATTGAGGAAAAACAACAGCATCATGTTTGTGTGTATCTGACCTGCGTGATCTGAATCACAGTGGCATCAGTGAGGGCACAGTGTAGGTTGACTGTTTGGCCAGGATAAAAAAACACATGTGGCTCCACATCCACTTGCTGACCAGTTGCTGCTAGAAGAAACAAAGAAAGAGAAACATTGTTTGTTGTTTCCTTTTTTCCAAACTAGA